GTGTTCTCAATATCTAAATTCTGATCTCAGTACCAGGAGTTCCTGCTAATGTAGCAATATCAAGCCAAACAAATACATCCATCACCCTGGACATCACGGTACCGTCAACAGGATCAGTAGAATACTACAATGTGACGGTTACTCAAGAGGACGGCCGTAACGAGACACGAAGTACAAAACACAATGCCACGTCCTACACAGTAGATAGACTAACACCGGGACACAGTTATAACTTCACGGTGGTCTCCGTGTTTCACGGTCTGACCAGTACACCGTATCCAGATGTAACAGCGTACACTGGTAAGTAACATCAAACCAATAAGTGAAATTAGTAGTATACATACGTACAGATACATCAAGCTCTGTTGTATAACCGTACCAAGGTCTGTAAGTGTTCAACGCTAGGTTACTGTTGTGTCTGACCAGTTTACCTCTTCAAAGATAATATATCTATACTTACAAAACGACAATATTTTTTATCCGCGTGTTACCTATATCGGCATCTATAAATGCAGTTGTGGAACCACACAATGTTACACGATGTGTGACGTTCGCACGATGTGTGCACGATAGGGAAAGCTGGACGAAATATGATATCTTACATCTGTGCGCTCAGATGTACAATTCTACACTGGTTTATATAAATTTAGAAATGAGTTATGAGTAAGTGTGGGATAGGGTTTATTTATTGTTCTCTATATTTATGAGTACATGTAATGGGTAACGATAGTTCCTGATAAGTCATGTATCTCTAGGTTAGGTAGATCTATCAGATTTAGACTGAATAGTTGTATACACTCGTAAATAATTTGTTAAAAAAGTGCCGTACGTGACAAGTCTTAATTATCAGATACTCGTTTTAACTGTATCTATTATATATGTAAACATTAAATGGATGTAGATGTCTTTTTGTTTTGGCAATGGATCGTAGAAGAATTATGTATGTACGTCAATTATTTAACTAGATAACTATAACAGAACTACTAGAATTATGTGTGTACGTCAATCATTTTAACTAGATTACTATGACATAATTTACCAGAATTATGTATGTACATCGATCATTTAACTAGATTACTATGACAGAACTACCAGAATTATGTATGTACGCCAATCAATATACTAGATAACTATGACAGAACTACCAGAATTATGTGTGTACGTCAATCAATTAACTAGATTACTATGACAGAACTACCAGAATTATGTGTGTACGTCAATCAATATACTAGATTACTATGACAGAACTACCAGAATTATGTATGTACATCGATCATTTAACTAGATTACTATGACAGAACTACCAGAATTATGTATGTACGTCAATCATTTTAACTAGATTACTATGACAGAACTACCAGAATTATGTGTGTACGTCAATCAATATACTAGATTACTATGACAGAACTACCAGAATTATGTATGTACGTCAATCATTTTAACTAGATTACTATGACATAATTTACCAGAATTATGTATGTACATCAATCAATATACTAGATTACTATGACAGAACTACCAGAAATATGTATGTACGTCAATCAATTAACTAGATAACTATGACAGAACTACCAGAATTATGTGTGTACGTCAATCAATTAACTAGATTTCTATGACAGAACTACCAGAATATATTAGGATTACGTTTTAATGTGTATTGATTTAAGTTGAACTTGATTCAAAATTTGGTGAATTTGAGATCTTTGATTAGTATTTTTACATTACAGTACCGGCTGTTCCTACAATGAGTGGACACTCCATCACTAGTAACTCAATAAATGTCACTCTAACCTCCGAAGGACACGTGGATAGATACATCGCTACCTCGCAATGCTCCAGTCTCGATAACACGAACTCCTTGAATGTCAACGTCACCGTAACCAATCACATCGTAAAGATAGACGGCCTCGATCCTGATACCACCTGTGACGTCACCGTCATCGCCGTCTTCCATAAACTTAACAGTTCTGCTGCATTGTTCCGTGGTCTCCGTACAAACGAAACAGGTAAGTAAAGCTAGTTTATCCCGGCTGTGAGTTGTGAGCACCCTTAGGATGGAAACATAACCATGTACCTAAAATCAGTGAATACCAACTAATGAATGAATCCTACACTTGTCTCGACTTTCTGTGACTCATCATTAACGGTAGGTCCAAAATCCCAACTTAAGGACTGTTCCATCTACGTTAACCTCCTGTTACATTAAGTTCTGGTGACGGCTACTTTACATGCTCTGGAGATGTTACACGTGTGTTACTACAGCGGTTGGCATGCCTCCTCCTTGTCTCTGTGTCGATATTGTTGTATATAAATTTTCTGTGTTTGTTGAAGCACATTATATAATCCATTGGTTACTATCTAGGTTAACTAGAATAACTCTTAGATTAACATCTCCACAGAAATATTTTCAGAATTAATCTCGGATAATGGCTGTAAACGGGATACTGAAAGTATACACAAATATGACGTTGTTTCAATTAAACATTTTAGAAACGCTTGAACGGACATATTGCACATGTTAATGAAATATTGTATCACATACTTCACAAGTGTTAGCGGGACCCTCGACCAGATACATAGTATGTGTTCGTGAAACCTCTGATGAGACACTTTGCTTGTGTCAAAGAAATGCTTGACCATACACATGGTAAGTGTTAGAGAAACGGACACCTTGTACATGTTATTGAAACGTTTGACCAAACACACTGTGTTGGTTAGTAAAATCCTGGACCAGTACAGGTTAGTGGGATCCTGGACCAGACATATTTTACAGGTTAGTGGGATCCTTGACCAGACATAATTTACATGTTAGTGGGATCCTTGACCAGACATATTTTACATGTTAGTGGGATCCTTGACCAGACATAATTTACAGGTTAGTGGGATCCTTGACCAGACATATTTTTACAGGTTAGTGAGATCCTTGACCAGACATATTTTACATGTTAGTGGGATCCTTGACCAGACATATTTTACATGTTAGTGGGATCCTTGACCAGACATATTATACAGGTTAGTGGGATCCTTGACCAGACATATTTTACATGTAAGTGGGATCCTTGACCAGACATATTATACAGGTAAGTGGGATCCTTGACCAGACATATTTTACATGTTAGTGGGATCCTTGACCAGACATATTTTACATGTAAGTGGGATCCTTGACCAGACATATTATACAGGTTAGTGAGATCCTTGACCAGACATATTATACAGGTTAGTGAGATCCTTGACCAGACATATTTTACATGTTAGTGGGATCCTTGACCAGACATATTATACAGGTTAGTGAGATCCTTGACCAGACATATTATACAGGTTAGTGGGATCCTTGACCAGACATATTTACATGTACAGGTAGTGGATCCTTGACCAGACATATTATACAGTGAGATCCTTACATGTTAGTTGGGATCCTTGACCAGACATATTTTACATGTTAGTGGGATCCTTGATCAGACATATTATACATGTTAGTGGGATCCTTGACCAGACATATTTTACATGTCAGTAGGATCCTTGATCAGACACATTTTACATGTTAGTGGTACGTGTTTTTCCCTTACTCCACTTTAAGGTTTTTCCTGCAAAATGTTGTTTTTTATGAATATGTCCCGCTGATAATGAGTTCTCGGCGATAGGTCAATGGATCCCCTGTTCTGATTAACAGTTTTACTTCGTAAAGAAGGCGGGGCTTAGCACTGTACTTAAATGGACAATTCTTAAAGCCACGAGTAGTTGATATGGGGTACTCAAACAATTATAAAAGTTACTGTTTACTCTTACAATATGTTTAATATTTTACGATATAGGTTGATATTTAGACATTTCAAACTAAGCTCGTTTAATAAGAAAATAGTAACACTTAAATCAGAAACTTGGCAATAAATTAGTTTTATTTCCCATGTCATTAAACAGAGACAGATTGTCTCTGTACTCCAACCATTACAGACAGATTATCTGTACTCCAACAAATAGAGACATATTGTCTGTACCCCAGCCAACAGAGACGGATTTCTGTACCAAAACAACAGACAGATTGTCTGTACTCCGACTAGAAAGGACAGATTGTCTGTACTCCGACCAGCAAGGACAGATTGTCTGTACTCCGACCAGCAAGGACAGATTGTCTGTACTCCGACCAGCAAGGACAGATTGTCTGTACTCCGACCAGAAAGGACAGATTGTCTGCACTCCGACCAGCAATGACAGATTGTCTGTACTCAGACCAGCAAGGACAGATTGTCTGTACTCCGACTAGCAAGGACAGATTGTCTGTACCCCAAGCAACAGATACATATTGTCTGTACCCACCCAACAGAGACAGATTATTGTACCCAAACCAACAGAGACAGATTGTCTGTACCCAAAACAGAGACAGATTGTCTGTACCCCAACCAACAGAGACAGATTGTCTGTACCCCAAACAACAGAGACAGATTGTCTGTACCCCAAACAACAGAGACAGATTGTCTGTACCCAAAACAGAGACAGATTGTCTGTACCCAAAACAGAGACAGACTGTCTGTACCCCAACCAACAGAGACAGATTGTCTATACCCCAAACAACAGAGACAGACTGTCTGTATCCCAACCAACAGAGACAGATTGTTCGTACCCCAACCAATAGAGGCAGATTGTCTGTATTCCAAACAACAGAGACAGACTCTCTGTACTACAGCCAACAGAGACAGATTGTCATATAGCTGTTTGAAAGACGTAATGAATGTATATGTAGGAATGCCGGACCAAATTGTTTAAAACAAACACATATTACCTATTAAAATGAGTTTCTGTCTTTGATCCTCAGTTGATCCTTCTGAACACATCTGTCTGTTTCAGAACTTGATATTTTAACGTTAATCCATTTGACGTTTGATAGTCACAAAAACTTTCAGAATTTATTTTCAAAACTTGTGCTTTTGTTATCTAACAGATTGAAACATGACGTCGATTTAATGATGAAGACAACGTCTTATTGTATCCACTGTTGTAGCTCCTGGTCCAGTTGGAGATTTAGTCGCCTTAACGTTGTCCTCTACAGCTGTTAGACTGACCTGGAACAAACCTATAAACCCGAATGGTGACATCACACAATACAGTGTACACGTCACCTATCCTAATGGAACATGTGTACAACTTATACAACTCCTGTGGACTGCCGGCAGTATAGCAATGACAGTAAAGAACATTACACTATTAACTACAACTTTACAAAAACAACATTAAAAGATCTAATCTGCAATGAAATAACAATTGTTGGTAATATTACTTACCGAAACAATAGATGATAATTTACTTACCGAAACAATGGATGACATTTTTACTTATCGAAACATTGGGTGATATTTTTACTTATCGAAACATTGGGTGATATTTTTACTTATCGAAACATTGGGTGATATTTTTACTTATCGAAACATTGGGTGATATTTTTACTTATCGAAACATTGGGTGATATTTTTACTTATCGAAACATCTGGTGATATTTTTACTTATCGAAACATTGGGTGATATTTTTACTTATCGAAACATCTGGTGATATTTTTACTTACCAACACAAAGGATGATAATTTTATTTACTGAAACAACGAATATTTTTACTTATCGAAACAATAGATGATATTTTACTTACCGAAACAATAGATGCTAATTTGACTTACCGATAGATAATTGATCTACCGTTACCAGATTACAAGACATTACATGTATATACTGTTATATAACAACTATCTACAGCTACATATGTTGTCTGACTTTTCCTTTTTACTTTTATGAAGTCGTCTTGTAAAATTACCAAGAATGGTACCTTCACCAGAGACCAGAAGGATTTTAATGAGACTATCACTGGACTGAGGGCCTATACCAATTACACGTTCACAGTGTACGCCTACACATCTGTCGGTGAAGGGACGGAATCATCTAATAGCACCAAAACCAGTCAAGACAGTACGTACACAACCAGTCCTAGTGGAAATATTGGTCCATCAATCAATACTGATAGAATCAGTACTGATAGTAACCCCGGTCTCCCTTAGAATCAGTTCTGATAGTAACCCCGGTCTCCCTTAGAATTAGTTCTGATAGTAACCCCAGTCTCCCTTAGGAGAATCAGTTCTGATAGTAACCCCGGTCTCCCTTAGTATCAGTACTGATAGTAACATTGGTCTCCCTTAGAAACAGTACTGATAGTAACCCCGGTCTCCCTTAGTATCAGTACTGATAGTAACATTGGTCTCCCTTAGAATCAGTTCTGATAGTAACCCCGGTCTCCCTTATAATCAGTACTGATAGTAACATTGGTCTCCCTTAGAAACATTATCAGTACTGATAGTAACATTGGTCTCCCTTACTGATATCAGTACTGATAGTAACATTGGTCCCCCTTAGTATCTGTACTGATAGTAACAATGGTTTCCCTAGTATCAGTACTGATAGTAACATTGATCTCCCTTAGTATCAGTACTGATAGTAACATTGGTCCCCCTTAGTATCAGTACTGATAGTAACATTGATCCCCCTTAGTATCTGTACTGATAGGAACATTGGTCTCACTTAGTATCAGTACTGATAGTAACAATATTCTCCCTTAGTATCAGTACTGATAGTAACATTGGTCTCCCTTAATATCAGTACTGATAGTAACATTGGTCCCCCTTAGTATCAGTACTGATAGTAACATTGGTCCCCCTTAGTATCTGTACTGATAGTAACAATGGTTTCCCTAGTATCAGTACTGATAGTAACATTGATCTCCCTTAGTATCAATACTGATAGTAACATTGATCTCCCTTAGTATCAGTACTGATAGTAACATTGGTCCCCCTTAGTATCAGTACTGATAGTAACATTGGTCCCCCTTAGTATCTGTACTGATAGTAACATTGGTCTCACTTAGTATCAATACTGATAGTAACAATAGCCTCCCTTAGTATCAATACTGATAGTAACATTGGTCTCCTTTAGTATCAGTACTAATAGTAACAATAGTCTCCTTTAGTATCAGTACTGATAGTAACATTGGTCTCCCTTAGTATCAGTACTGATAGTAACAATGGTCTCCCTAGTATCAGTACTGATAGTTACAATGGTCTCCCTAGTATCAGCACTATAGTAACATTGGTCTAACTAGTATCAATACTGGTAGTAACATTGGTCTCCCTTAGTATCAGTACTGATAGTAACATTGGCCTCCCTTAGTATAAGTACTGATAATAACAGTAGTCTCCCTTAGTATCAGTACTGATAGTAACAGTGGTTATCCTCACTATCAGTACGGTTTGTTACAAATGGCAACATTGGCAACTTAGTACAGGTGATGATTGATCAATATGGAGAACTAAGTACAGGTGATGATTGGTCAATATGGTGAACTAAGTACAGGTGATGATTGGTCAATATGGTGAACTAAGTACAGGTGATGATTGGTCAATATGGTGAACTAAGTACAGGAGATGATTGGTCAATATGGTGAACTAAGTACAGGTGATGATTGGTCAATATGGTGAACTAAGTACAGGTGATGATTGGTCAGTATGGTGAACTAAGTACAGGTGATGATTGGTCAGTATGGTGAACTAAGTACAGGTGATGATTGGTCAGTATGGTGAACTAAGTACAGGTGATGATTGGTCAGTATATTTTGTTTCAGACTAATATTACTACTTCGTTATGATATATATATCTACGTGTATTTGTGTGTGTACATATATTACTTTTGTTTTTCAGAACCACACAAGATTACAGATTTAAAAACTTACAATACAACATCATCTACAATAACAATTTCGTTTAACGAACCACAACCAAGCACTGGTCCAATAACGCAATACGATATACAGTACGTGTACCAGGAACGAGTCTGTAACAATGGTTTGAGGTCAGGTCAGAATACAATAACAAACCAGACCAAGTGTACGCCCTCTAGTGATCGTCCGACTGTCTGCTCTCTAGACAATCTCTATCCCTACTGGAACTATAATATAAGTGTGAAGGCATACACCATAAAAGGACCCGGTGACTTGAGCGACCCTATAGTAAGCCAGACAGCCGAGGACAGTAAGTATCATTACAGGGAATACTGATCACAATATCAGTATCGCTGTTAATCACTTAACTGTCTATCTGGAATGGTGTTTATATTTAATAAGTATTCAAATAGAATCATTATAAAAATAATTAAATGACAGCTGCTATTATATTCATATTATTCTAGAGCCGAGTCCTATAAATAACCTCCATCACACCAAGGTCACAGCTTACAGTGTAACTTTGGAGTGGTCCGCGCCTTGTCCCCCTAATGGCATTATCCAGGAATACGTCATACGCTGGAACAACATGGATATCAACACAAGAAACAACTCAGTGTCATACCTAAAGCCGGACCTAAAGCCATACAGGAACTATACATATCAGATAGCAGCTGTGACAGTGGCTGGTACTGGGGAGTACACCGATGAACAAATCGTCACAACATTAACTGATAGTAAGTATATACTGTTATCAAATAGTATATTATATTGAAACAGTATCCATTTAAACTTTCTGTCTCTGTTTAAAAGATGTTAACGTTTTATCTAATGCACTAATTGCTAAAGTCATTGTTACATATGCTATACATTCAACATTCCTAATAATATGTGTTTGTCTTTGTATGTCATTTTCACTCAATTCAAAACTCCATACTGGTCGTTTACCTATTCCCGACAAGGCTTAATGAAATGTTTATTAAATTGCACAACTCGCCAATGTTTCCAGATTGTATAAACCAAATATTTCCTGTAACGAAACCTATTGAAGATTCTCGTTTATCAGCGATACTTTGACGAGAATTGGTATTTGCAGAGGATAAGTTGGCTACTTGCAGATATTCCGTTTTATGTCGAAGGGTAGACAAGTATTTGTCAATTATTCTGGTACACAAACCTTCCGGTATGGGATGGTTGGCCAGCTTGGTTAAGGGGAGGGAATGGGGTAGCTCAGGTGTCGGAACAGGCAAATCATGCACCGTGTGAGGTATGTACGTTACTGACACGTCATTGATATACGGAAGAGTGAACGAATGACGTCACAGACGGCATTGGTGTTCAGGTTGGTATTGTGTGAAGTTCCTCGTGAATAATCTGTCTCTAGAAAATATATTTAGCATAAAGTTGTGTTGTAAATATTAACTTTTCTTTTCTCCCCGACATAGGACACTTTACCACTAAAATTTACGTTAAATATCGTGATCTCGACCTTGTCAGTGGAATTAGGAATTATTGAAATCTTCGATTTTTTCCCTCAAATATAATTAAAGAACTACGACGCCCAACAAAAGTTTCGAAAAGAAATGACCTTGATCCTTATTCAAGGTCACAGAGATCAAAATATTTAAATATTTTTTTTATCAACAAAAGACCTGGTGACACGATACTTTAATGGTAGGTCTTCCGAATGAATCCTTACAAACTTGGCAAAATGAAATGCCTGGGATGGATATTTAAGATCACAGGGATCACATTTGTCAAAACTATTAATAGACTCCTTCTGGTAAACCAAAAGCGGGATATTTGGTGGAAAGATGTTCCCAACTCAAAATCCGATAAAATCCGGAGAATGAGAAGTAACATTTGTCTATAATCTAGGTCATAACTATCACTGCTTGTAGTTGAGTGTAAAAAGTTTTGGAAATATGTTTAAATCTATTGGATGTGCCTATTTTGAATGCCATTAGTATATGTGTTAATGTATTTGTGGTGAACATTGATTACCGGTCGATGCAGATCCATTGGGCCTCTTATAATCAACATAACTTTGAATATCAATGACGTGGTCAAATATCAATAATATCAAACATTAATATCAAAACAACTTGTCTATGACAGATCCGTAACAATGGAATAATATAGACAACAGTGGTTGGCTCTGTTAGATTGTGACTACAAGCCTCCTTAACTTATATCCTTATCATAACTGTCATTGTTTATATGAGATCAACATCAACTGATTTATCAAAATATTAGTAAGTTATGATATTACAGAGTCTGTCCAATATTTCTTCCAGTTCCACATCCACCACGTAATGTCACGGTTCCTACAAAGATGGCTACCAGTGTTAGCGTTAAGTGGTCAAGTCCAGATTTAAAAACCGGACCTACCAGTTACACGGCCACGGCAATAGATGTACGAACAAACAGAAATATATCATCTTGTGGAACCCATGGTATGTTTGAAAAATAAAAACCTCAGTGTGAACATTGGTCTTCTACTTCCTAGTGAAAACTGTTGAGACAAAAAGTGATATATCCTAACAATTAACGGAGAAAATTACAAAATACAATTCAGTTCTTTAGTATTACTCACATGTATAGGATATCAAATTTCCATTACATTGACCGATTAGTTTTTAACTATGTTATAGTTGAAATGATACCTTTTCTCTGAGTTTTGAGTTGTATAAATTCCTTTCATTACAATTTGTTTGAGGTATTTGCGAATATTTCAGGAAACACGTGTTTCTTTCCTACAGTTTTATTGGTTTATATATGTTGGTTCCATTGTGACGTCATGATGTCGTCATTCATCATTTTACGACACCATAACATCATTTTCGGCACAATTTGTTTAATAATGATACTTTGCCGCTGTTTCTATGCTGATCACTAAGTATTCACGATGATGCCATTTGTAATTAATACTGATTTATTGTCTGTTGTTTACACAGTGTTTCCACGAAAATACGAAAAACGTCATTTCATCTTCTTACATTTGAAACTTTACTAAAAACTTACCTGACAACCTCTGAAAAATAAATACTTGTTTAATCAATCTATAGTATAATGTAGTATTCGGTCTTTTACAGGTTTCGACAAAACTGAATGTACCATAAAACACCTTGAGGAATACTGGAACTACACCATTTTCGTGCTATCCACCACAGTGAACGGATCAACCAATAGTACTCCAGTGTCCATCACAACTGACCAATCAGGTATATCCTCTCGAAGCCATACTTTGACTGGACATTATTCCGGAACAAATTTGAAATGACAACAATGACAAAGATAAAATGTATTGTTTACATTCTGACTAAACTGATCGCGGCTGAGTTCTATTGCCGGGTCTCCAAACGCTTTAGTAATAACAACAGACAAGCAAAAAAACGATATCGTCCATATATAATTTGGAATATCGACTACGCTTTACTTGATAACATTGTATTCATTTTATAGAATCGCTGTATATTCTACAACAGTAATTGTTCAATAATTCTGTATATTTTACCGACAGTACCCGGAAAAGTGACAAGTCTGTCTGTCAGTGCTCAGGAAAACGTAATCAAGCCACGTACAGTCAACGTAACCTGTCAACCACCAGTAGAGATGGAACTAAATGGTATGATCACCGGGTACATACTTACCTGGGGATACTATACGATGATTAAGGTGAGTCTACCTGTTTTCACCGTTTGATACTGATCGTATATTAATTAACTTTTTTATTATTATAAGAATAGGTTTTTTTTTCGGATGAGGTATTTCACATTTATATATTCTTTTGATGAAATCAGAGTTGTATGTGAAATTATGGAAACAGATTTTTTCTGACAAAATCTAATTGTTTTGGATTATTTACGGATGACACACATCAGGAAATGGAATGATGTATACTGACATAACAAAGTGAAATTATTCCCATTTAGAATTCGAGTTCATCGTGTCATTGGTTCCTTGATGTCGATCCAGAAAAGACATATACATTCACAGTAAGTATTATGGTTGGTGATATAAACTTATTAATGTTTGTTTATAAACACTGGAAATTTAGTGAATTCTGCCATTCATGAATACTACTGATTAAATCTAGAAAAAGTCGAAATGTGCGCAAATGCTTTCAAGATGTTCAAAACATAGTCGCCAGTTAAATTCAGTCGCTATGTTCCGAAGAATTGATGTTGTGCATTCTACTATGTATCTTAAGCATGTCAGTGATAAGGGTAATGCTGGAATCAGCACATCTGTCTGTCTGTTCGTCCGGCTGTAAAATCTTCCGTTGGTCAAATAAAAAATCCGCTCGTGATGATGATGTAAGAAACATTTTAGATAGAGCCGATGATGTTCAGCTATTCATGTTACACCAAAACAACTGTTAATTTGGGGAAAAGTCATGTTGAATGTCATACATTATGAATCATATAATTGATAGCGATAATAAGTGTCAGGGATTTTGATATTTTCCAGGTCGTGGCAAGGACGATAAAGGGACCTGGTAAAAACGCTTCGACAACGCTTTTTATACCCGCAGGAGGTAAGACATGTCGAGCTGTTCTGATTAAATTTGAAATTAAAGGATTGACTCTTGTTACTTTGACATACGACACTGCTGAAATACATGTGTTTTAGAAATGGCCTACATGATATAAGCATATGTGAAAACTGAATAAATTCTTTGTGACGTCGTTCAAAGTTCCCTTTCTTTCACCAACACAATGGAAACTGTTTCAGTATCAATTTCAATATTTTTCCTGATTTGAATACATTGCGAGTAAGGTAAGTGTGTATATTTGTTTGTCCATAATATTTTCTTTACCAAAATTTACTGCCATGTGCTTTTTTCTTCTTTTTCCATTATTATTAAATTTGGTGACATTAATGAATGGATGCTAACCTCGTCTGACACGTACATGTGTGTCTTATAATTTTCAATTTCTTATGTAGCTCCGTTGCTGGCAAATGAGAGCGCGACAATGATAAAACTGGGGTCATCTTCAGATGTCAGCGACCCAGAAAAGCAATTCCGGGTGGATTTTGATACCAAACTCGTGTGTAACACCAAAAACGGAATCGTCTCAGCTCATTACGTTATTGTGTCTGAATCATCTCAATCTAACACTGGTATGATTTTACCTTGTAAACCGTACTAAATAAACCAATGAAATAATCATAGAAATGATAGGCTGCTTTAGATCATTAATAATGTATAAAAACACTAGTCAGTAAACCAACTGTGTTCAGACTGTGAGTTTGACCACATTTTCATTAAAACCAAAACATCTTGAGGGTTATAATTATGGATTGAAAGGTCTGTGTATATTTTTTGTGTTGTGTGTTTAGCTGTTGTCAACTTTAACCTTGCCTATAACTACTGCACCGCAAGAGTCAAGGCTTTCATATTTGACATGTGTGTTCCTTGTGACAAGAATTAACTTTCCAAAAAAAATATACATTTGCACATTGCGTAAGGGATTTCATATTTGACACGGACTTTCTGGTGGTACCAAAATGTATAACCATGTGACCTTGACCGTGACAGTAAATCAACGAGGGTAATAATTGTCTTTATAGTCCAAAGCATTTAGATAAAGGACCCACTACCAGCTGCTAAAATTTTTTTCAATCATGAGAATATCTGTTTCACTGTGGCGATGTGTATTATTTATGTTTTGTCCTTTATTCAGTTCTAAGACCTTTCCGTGGAAATAAAACTTCTTATGAAAGTCAAGTGAAAACCCGTTATAAGCATTGGAGCAATGTAAAAGACGCAGACAACATCACCCCATATGTAGCGTCCAGGTCCTGGGATCCTTGTCCAAAAAGTAAGTAGACCTGATAGCGTCGGTTTATTTGTATATAGAGGTGTATTTGCTATTCTTTTGCAATAGTTAGATAAATAAGAATGGAACGCCCAGCATATCCGGCAGTCAACACAGAGATATAACACAATGATCATATACTACATACTCGCATGATGGGGTCACGAAAAATATGACAATAAATAACCACAGAAAACCGCATATTACTAAAGACAGAAAGAATACGTACTCCAGTCAGATATATGGGCTTCTTTTCATGCCAAAATTACACCGATTTCACCATTCCTAGAAGGCCAAAGGGTCGCGGCAGCCGAGTGGTTCATGCGTCTGACCATTTTTATCATTCGATCTCCACCTCTGGGTCGTGGGTTCTTTAGCATCAGTGAGGAGTCTTAGAAGAGCGAAACGACTGTGTGATGTAGTTTGCTTCATTATTTGGATTATCTCATCTTAATTTGGATTGAAAAGTGCTATTCATTTGTGTGTATGTTGTTTAATACTTTGGAATTATCAAATATGTGTTTAAAAACAAAACAACGAAAAAAAGACATCAACATGTGAACAGTCAGGATCTGATTTTGATAAAACTGTGGCAAAACATGAACAAAAGTAAGATTAAAACGGAGACTCCTGCAAAAGTACAAGGTAAATAAGACCAGTGGTTTCGGAAGTGCAAGTGTCTTCTGCTTCATCGACGGCACCCACCATGTAATACCGCGTTCTTCTCAAATGAGAACAAGGTATACAACAACGGAACCAACAGGCAAACTAACGGGCATCAAACACGTCCAGCTTTATATCGTACAACGGAACCAACAGGCAAACTAGCGAGCATCAAACACGTCTAGCTTCAAATCACACAAAGAAATAGATAGAGATCATGATGACGACAATAGAACTTCCCCATAATTGTCATTTACCTGCATCTCTCGCACCGCGCGAGTTTGACTGTCAGTTGACGACTTCTTGTGCGACAATCGTAATATTTAGACCTAGGCCTTGAATGTCGAGTCACCTGCAAAATGTTAACGCCAACGGTTGGGGATGCAGAAGTGTTGCTATCTAGAAATGGAAAATTCTCAAAAGGGGATTGAAATCAATACGTTTATCAACAGTTTGGTGGAAAGTTGTCCATGATGGTTTTGATGTAGGAAACGATAGACATGAGCGACTGATGAAGATCGGTAGTTCATTAATATTCACTTATTTATATAACATATTTACTATCGATTCAGATACATATCTTCAAAGTAAGGGAAGCTACTCCACATACTTACTTCCTGTATATATTTTATACGACATTACATGTATCACGGGTAGAAGAAGACGAAGGGAGACTAATCCACAGATTGTAACTTTCTATTCATGCTTTTTCTATAAAGCATTACAGGTATTACTGGTACTGTACGAAGGGAGACTACTCTACAGACTGTAACTCTCTATAAATGTATATTCAATATAACCTTACAGATGTAACTGGTAGAAAACTAAGGGAGACAGACTGCAACTGTCTATATATTTATGTTCTATATAACCTTACAGGTAATACTGGCAGAAGAAGACTAAGGGAGCCTACTCCACAGACTATTACTGTCTATATATGTATGTCCTATACAACCTTACAGGTAATACTGGTAAAAGAAGACGAAGGGAGACTACTCCACAGACCGTGTCTTTCACCGTTGGGAACGATGGCGATTGTAGTGGCGACTGTAATGGCTACGTACAGCCCGGCCGATCATACAAGTAAGGTCTAAGTTCTACATCGTTGTATCATTTATACAGATATCGTAGTAGGATTATCAAATGTTCACAAGAGGCCAGATAAATTATACACGTATCATGCATGGTTATCAGAGAAATAGGAAGTGCGTCATTATGTTAAATCTGAAATTGTGGTTGGCTCCGAAGGCGAGATTCATGCCATCAGGGTGGAATACTGACTACAGATAATGACTACAGATGGAAATGTTATTTTAAACAATGTAAGCTGTCTTCCATTCATTTATACATCTAGTTTGAAACAATAGCCATAATTTACAGAATCACACAAACATAGTGCCGATATATAGGACTGGATATGACAATGCAGTGCTTTGATGATCAAATTCTTGTTCTGTAATGATAGTAATATGTATATAAGTATTTAGATATGAAATTCACAAAAGATGTCTTTCATGTCATACATTGGATCACTTGTCTGTCAGGTATCAGGAAACCTTTAACACAGACATGTAGTATATAAATCTGCCAGTATTTCACAGCCGTTTATATGTATTTACGTACATTCTAGGGTACGGGTAGCTGTCTGTACTGCTGGGGGATGCTCGGAGTCCGAATGGAGTAATGCCATCAAAACAGGTGAGAGAGAATGGTACTCTTATGTCTATCCATTAAGACCATGCTGATGCCTTCGTGATTTCGAAATTAGAAAAGTATAACAACTTGGGTTTTTTTTTATTTATTCTATGAGTAATGTTGTAAACAACTATTTTAGAACCGAATTTGACGCCGTCAATCGTTGGAGGAGTTATTGGGTCGTTGCTAGCAGTCGCTATATTTCTAGCTGTAATGTTTATACTACGGAGGCGGTCTATGCTGTAAGTATATTTATTTGTATCATTGTATAACGTTAATCTAATGATTAATCCACGGTATGGTTGTTTATAGGTAAAGTATCATCGTTATTTTACCCATAAGGTTCAATGGCATGTGTTGTTGATATCTTATAGGGGGACCAAGTTTACTCTTGTTGGTTTCATGGCATGTGTTGTTGATATCTTATAGGGGGACCAAGTTTCATCTTGTTGGTTTCATGGCATGTGTTGTTGATATCTTATAGGGGGACCAAGTTTACTCTTGTTGGTTTCATGGCATGTGTTGTTGATATCTTATAGGGCGACCAAGTTTCATCCTGTTGGTTCCATGGCATGTGTTGTTAATATCTTATAGGGGGACCAAGTTTCCTCTTGTTGGTTCCATGGCATGTGTTGTTGATATCTTATAGGGGGGCCAAGTTTACTCTTGTTGGTTTCATGGCAGGTGTTGTTGTTGATATCTTTTAGGGCGACCAAGTTTCATCCTGTTGGTTCCATGGCATGTGTTGTTGATATCTTATAAGGGGACCAAGTTTCCTCTTGTTGGTTCCATGGCATGTGTTGTTGATATCTTATGGGGCGACCAGGTTTCATCTTGTTGGTTCTATGGCATGTGTTGTTGATATCTTATGGGGTGACCAGGTTTCATCTTGTTGGTTTCATGGCATGTGTTGTTGATATCTTATGGGGCAGCCAAGTTTACTCTTGTTTGTTTCATGGCATGTGTTGTTGATATCTTATGGGGGGACCAAGTTTCCTCTTGTTTGTTCCATGGCATGTGTTGTTGATATCTTATGGGGCGACCAAGTTTCCTCTTGTTGGTTCCATGGCAGGTGTTGTTAATATCTTATGGGGGGGACCAAGTTTCCTCTTGTTGGTTCAATGGCTGGTATTGTTAATATGTTTTAGGGGCGACCAAATTTCATCTCGTTGGTTCCATGGCAAGTGTTGTTAATATCTTATAGGGGGACCAAGTTTCCTTTTGTTGGTTCAATGGCAGGTGTTGTTAATATGTTTTCGGGGCGACCAAGTTTCCTTTTGTTGGTTCCATGGCAGGTGTTGTTAATATCTTATGGGAGGAGCAAGTTTCCTTTTGTTGGTTCAATGGCAGGTGTTGTTAATATGTTTTCGGGGCGACCAAGTTTCCTTTTGTTGGTTCCATGGCAGGTGTTGTTAATATCTTATGGGGGGAGCAAGTTTCCTTTTGTTGGTTCCATGGCAGGTGTTGTTAATATCTTATGGGGGACCAAGTTTCATTTCTTATGTTGTACTTATATCCTATGATATTTTTTTGATTTTTGGCCGTCAACATGTTTTATCGACATGCTTAGGAGCTTCCGTTATATGGATTATTTATATTGGTATGAAAATTATGAAAGTGCGCCTACCATACATATTAACGACAGTCAAAGTGTGCCTACAATACTCATAAACGGTAGGTTTATATGCACCTACATTGTTTATTAACGATACGTCAATGCGCCTCACCATTATACCAAATTATATATAATGGGCGCCTACAATACATACTGATTATATATTAATGTGAGCCTGAAATGCATATTACTACTATATTAAATGCGTCTATAATACATATTAACGATGTCTTAATGACGTGACGTGTATATTGTTGAAATTCGATAAAGCTTACTTCGAACTCCGAATAGATGTAGATGGTGCTACATATATACTGTTTAAGTATATAAGCTGACATGTGTACATGGGTTTTGTTTACATGTAGATGCTTCAATAAAGACAAAGAAAATGGATTTACAGAATTAACAGGGAATACCAATGTTGGATACCGAGGTGATTCCACTGAAATGGTCGTCGTGAAATCAAGGTTTGTACATTATCACCAGTACGGCGACTAGACAGACCCTGGGTCACACAAAGTATATCTATAATACGTTATGTGATCAATTCAGCGACTGATGTTTGGTATATTGTCTCAACCTCGTGTCGGGCTTTCAATTAAAATGCTATGATTTGTGAACTAAACATCCAATATTAGTTGTTCTACCTATTATAAGGTATCAGAATGTGTATCTCCTTACATACGTTTTGGTTTATGTTACCTTTATACAGAGTGATTATTGTTTTCAAGATTTTGGAAAATATCCATACTTAACATTGAAATTCCACAAAAGAATGATAAGCGTAACAATTAAATTGATACAGTATTTAATTTGTACATATTTCAGAAACCTCTTTAAATCACGTAGAACCTGCCCTCCATAATTCCACTCACTCTGATAGAACTGAAATACGCTTTGTTTCCCGTGTCCCTGTGCACTGCCTCACAGCGGTAGCTTGGTATCAGACTTCTGTAGAAATTTCACAATCTGAATGTTTATATTCCAAAAATCTGTTTGAAGCAGAGTGTGTTACTGCAAAGATCAATCAAAATAAACCTTTATTTGATAAACTGAAAAAGAGGTGCATTACGGTGTCCGAAACTACATTTTGTACATAGGATATTTAGTACGGAAAGGTTTAGAAGCTACATATATAAAGGACGGTGATGCTCGTTCGCTATACACTTATATAACTGATTGCCATGGTTTAGAAGCTACATATATAAAGGACGGTGATGCTCGCTCGCTATACACTTATATAACTGATTGCCATGGTTAAGAAGCTACATATATAAAGGACGGTGATGCTCGTTCGCTATACACTTATATAACTGATTGCCATGGTTAAGAAGCTACATATATAAAGGACGGTGATGCTCGTTCGCTATACACTTATATAACTGATTGCCATGGTTTAGAAGCTACATATATAAAGGACGGTGATGCTCGTTCGCTATACACTTACATAACTGATTGCCATGGTTAAGAAGCTACATATATAAAGGACGGTGATGCTCGTTCGCTATACACTTATATAACTGATTGCCATGGTTAAGAAGCTACATATATAAAGGAAGGTGATGCTCGCTCGCTATACACTTATATAACTGATTGCCATGGTTTAGAAGCTACATATATAAAGGACGGATATGCTCGTTCGCTATACACTTATATAACTGATTGCCATGGTTTAGAAGCTACATATATAAAGGACGGATATGCTCGCTCGCTATATACTTATATGACTGATTGCCATGGTTTAGAAGCTACATATATAAAGGACGGTGATGCTCGTTCGCTATACACTTATATAACTGATTGCCATGGTTTAGAAGCTACATATATAAAGGACGGATATGCTCGTTCGCTATACACTTATATAACTGATTGCCATGGTTTAGAAGCTACATATATAAAGGATGGTGATGCTCGCTCGCTATACACTTATATAACTGATTGCCATGGTTTAGAAGCTACATATATAAAGGACGGATATGCTCGTTCGCTATACACTTATATAACTGATTGCCATGGTTTAGAAGCTACATATATAAAGGACGGTGATGCTCGCTCGCTATACACTTATATAACTGATTGCCATGGTTTAGAAGCTACATATATAAAGGACGGTGATGCTCGCTCGCTATACACTTATATAACTGATTGCCATGGTTGACGGATATGCTCGTTCGCTATACACTTATATAATTGATTGCCATGGTTTAGAAGCTACATATATAAAGGACGGTGATGCTCGCTCGCTATACACTTATATAATTGATTGCCATGGTGGTATTTTCTTGATGTTTTTACAGAAAAATCAAAGTATCAGAGTTTGCTGACAAATATTACCAACTTAGTAAGGACAGCAATATGAAGTTTTCAGAAGAGGTTAAGGTTAGTATTTTTCATACTTGTCGACCTTTTTTTCAATTGCCTGCTAGACTTTAATAATTAAGTCCATCAGCATCCGCAGTGTACATTTTTAATTCAACATTACCTGAAGTGTATCTTATTCTGACTTTTATTTAAAGATGCTATTCATTGACAAAGTTAATAGCTTGGGATCACCTGCTAAAACCTTTAATCTCTGAAAACAGTTAAACATTAAAAATAGGAATAAATGAAATCGATAGAAAAATGTTTGAAAATTAGAGAAATGTGGTTAAGGCTTTGAATATTCGATATTAACAATGTGTAGTATTTGCTGCAAACCTTCTGAAATTGTGTTCACGAATCACGCCATCAAATTCAAGGATTGTGACAGAGTAAATGGTATTTGTTCCAGTTATTAAAGGAGATGAGCCCAACGCACAAAACAAATTGCGCTGAGGAGCAGGCTGTCCGTATAAAGAACCGTTACACCAATATACTGGCATGTAGGTAGAATCTCCTGTTCTAGGGGAAGGGTAGATACCTTCAATATAACAAATGAAATGTCAAACCGCTTGAAAAAAAGTGAGAGCTTCTTTTCCTATTTCAGATCATAGTAAACAGCCACTAAACAAACTGATATTTGTTTATTTTCAGGTCAGTTTCCGTATTGTTATGAGATGATAGGATCGACAATAATATTAGATGTGTTATATTTATGATGGTTATCATGGTATTTTCCATGAAGACCTCATTGCTAGGGATCATCACACATGGACTATTTTTTATAGTTTAGAATGTTGATATATTTGTATTTATGGTACAATGATTCAGTATAGCGTGGATTTTTTTATTCATCCCTTGGCTTTGGTGAATGTAGATAATTTTGATACATTTGTATTTATGGTACAATGATTCAGTTTAATTTTTGATAAATCCCTTGACTTTGGTGGATGTAGATAATTGTTATATATTTGTATTTATGGCACAATGATTCAGTTTAGCGTGGATTTTTTTTATTAATCCCTTGCCTTTGGTGGATGTAGATAATTTTGATACATTTGTATTTATGGTACAATGATTCAGTTAAAATTTTGATAAATCCCTTGACTTTGGTGAATGTAGATAATTTTGATATATTTGTATTTATGGTACAATGATTCAGTTAAAATTTTGATTAATCCCTTGACTTTGGTGGATGTAGATAATTGTGATATATTTGTATTTATGGTACAATGATTCAGTTTAATTTTTTATTAATACCTTGGCTTTGGTGGATGTAGATAATTGTGTTATACAGTTTTAATTATAAGGTATTTTGTTTTATGTAGTTGATCACAGTCGAGTGAAACTTTTACCACTGGACGAAGAAGAAGGCTCGGACTACATCAACGCCAATTATATCCCAGTACGTATCCCAATTATCGAAACTATCGATTTATTGATAGTTCATAATTTGTATCAACATTTATCTGTTCTTGGAAAGGAATTTATCCTTACAAGCAAAGGAAGGTGTGTCTTCGCTTCTAGCTGACACACAATGAGAAAGAGTGACAAGGCAATTGATATGGCAAAAATACGCTTTAACTTAGAAAACTAGCACTAAACACTCTTTCTAATAGTTTATTAAATTGTGTCTTAATTTCATCGTAATCCTTCATCATAGTTCTGTGCATTTCGAGAATGTTTGACAAAGGTTTGGTAGATCAAATATCTACACCTGGGTAAACATTCATTCGGGATGTCTAGATGAAGGGTGGTTTGTTTATGTTGTAGAATTCTCTATTGTAGGGTCATAATTCCAAGCGAGAATATATTGCCACCCAGGGACCTCTGGTGTGCACCAAGGATGACTTCTGGAGGATGATCTGGGAACAGAACGTCAGTGTGATAGTGATGTTAACGCAATTAGTTGAAAGAGGAAGGGTAAGTTTCTTTTATGATGATATATATGCATAACATTAAACATCAAGAAATTACCAGCATATCAGAATAATTATAATCCAAAACCAAATCCAATAAAACTAGGGTGAAATATAAACAAAGGAAGATTTACACGAAGATTCCTGAAAAGGAAAGGATAATCAGACCAGGTGTTCCGGAACAGTAAACGTCTTCTTCATCGACGATACCTGCCATGCAAACCTTGGTTTCTCCAATGAGGTCAATGTATACAACAACGGAACCAACAAGCAAACTAACAAGCATCAAGCACGTCCAGCTTCATATCGCACAAATAAAATAAATCTTAATATAAACCTAGATTAGAGTATATGTAACCCAATCCCCTCCAAAAATATAGGCCTCCTTGTTTAAAATATTAAATACGGTTACCACATTTTTTCTACAGAGAAAGTGTGACCAGTACTGGCCGGATGAGGTGTCCGAGCCGTTTTATTTTGGTGATCTCATTGTCCGGATAGATTCCGAGTCCACTCTCCCGGACTATGTTATCCGCGTCATCAGTATGCAGCTGGTAAGTACGTCACACACGTCATCAGTATGCAGCTGGTAAGTACGTCACACACGTCATCAGTATGCAGCTGGTAAGTACGTCACACACGTCATCAGTATGCAACTGGTAAGTACGTCACACACGTCATCAGTATGCAGCTGGTAAGTACGTCACACACGTCATCAGTATGCAAGCTGGTAAGTACGTCACACACGTCATCAGTATGCAGCTGGTAAGTACGTCACACACGTCATCAGTATGCAGCTGGTAAGTACGTCACACACTTCATCAGTATGCAGCTGGTAAGTACGTCACACACGTCATCAGTATGCAGCTGGTAAGTACGTCACACACGTCATCAGTATGCAGCTGGTAAGTACGTCACACACGTCATCAGTATGCAGCTGGTAAGTACGTCACACACGTCATCAGTATGAAGCTGGTAAGTACGTCACACACGTCATCAGTATGCAGCTGGTAAGTACGTCACACACTTCATCAGTATGCAGCTGGTAAGTACGTCACACACGTCATCAGTATGAAGCTGGTAAGTACGTCACACATTTCATCAGTATGCAGCTGGTAAGTACGTCACACACGTCATCAGTATGCAGCTGGTAAGTACGTCACACACGTCATCAGTATGCAGCTGGTAAGTACGTCACACACTTCATCAGTATGCAGCTGGTAAGTACGTCACACACGTCATCAGTATGCAGCTGGTCACAAGTACGTCACACACGTTCATCAGTATGCAGCTGGTAAGTACGTCACACACGTCATCAGTATGTCACACAGCTGGTAAGTACGTCACACACGTCATCAGTATGCAGCTGGTAAGTACGTCACACACTTCATCAGTATGCAGCTGGTAAGTACGTCACACACGTCATCGGTATGCAACTGGTAAGTACGTCACACGCTTCATCGATATGCAGCTGGTAAGTACGTCACACACGTCATCAGTATGCAGCTGGTAAGCACGTCACACACTTCATCAATATGCAGCTGGTAAGTATGTCACACACGTCATCAGTATGCAGCTGGTAAGTACGTCACACACGTCATCAGTATATAACTGGTAAGTACGTCACACACGTAATCAGTATGCAGTTGGTAAGTACGCCACACACGTCATCAGTATGCAGCTGGTAAGTACGCCACACACGTCATCAGTATGCAGCTGGTAAGTACGCCACACACGTCATCAGTATGCAGCTGGTAAGTACGTCACACACGTCATCAGTATGCTAATGTTAAAATCGTCATCAATGTTATTAATTCTCTTACGATGTCAATATTTCATTTCCGGAATCATGTTGTACATGTGTCACAAGAATGCTGGTTTATTCACTATATTCTGGAGAATCCAACAGGTACAAATAGCAAGACAGTCTTTGAGCAGTTTTCCAGGAAATGATATTTAAGTAACTTTTCGAATATATGATGGAAAATCCATATTTTTACTATAAAACAATGAAAAGATTCTTCATAAAATAGTACGTAATAACGGAAGCACACAATATTATATAAACAGTGAATGTAGTACAACGTTTAATCTACCGCACCTATAGAATAACAAGAAGAAGAAAATGAAGCAGGTACACTACCTGAAATGGCCTGACATGGGATGCCCTGATACCACATGGCTTCTTCTGAACTTCGTGCAGGACGTGCGCCTCTTCATGCCTCATCAGAACCCTGGTCCTATGGTGGTCCACTGCAGGTAGTCAGCCAGGGATATTTCCGAAGATATACATACAAATGGGTCACAGACAGACACTACACACGCACAGGCCTTCAAGGATTACACAGGTCATAATTACCGACAGAAAACACTGATACACATTTTCAACTGACACATATTCAATAATACTGATGCACACAGTTCTAACGGACATACATTCCATATAGCAGGTCTAGGGCACAGACAATCACTACTCACACACACACACTTCCTAGGAACACACATCCCAAATGTTTACAAGCAGACACTATTGATAGACACGTCTAGGATACACACATCCGATAAGGGTTTAAGGACATAGGCAAATCTACTGATAAATACTTCCAAAGGTCACTTTTCCCAGATAGTCGACAGTGGGACACTCTTCTAACTGACATACACTGCAAATAGATCCACATGGACATTCATAGAAAGTTCAAGCACACACCTACCGATACCCACAAGTTCATGATACAGCCATGAGATATAAAATCAAAATACACAAAAGCATTCCAGGGAAGAAATTGGTAGGGATGCACTTGTAACAATTCCAGGAAGAACATGTAAATTATAGAATAGACCAATGGACACAGATGATGTCAAGGTACTCTTTTGACACACATATTCCAAGAGAATGCATGCATCGTGTTGTAGCTTGATCGGACACTCTTTTGGGTGATCCGAAGTGAACCTATTGTTTATGTACCTTGTCAGGACGTATATAGTGGATGATATCGACAGCCGATTGAGTTCGGGCGTGTTACATCACGTGTGGAATCCTACAGTAATCAGCATGTCGACTGGATCCTTTCCGATAGCACGGTAATGGTATTCACCACAGCAGCATGTCCATCCATACATGACCCTGGTTGTTGCGAGGATGTCGATCGAACTTTGTAAAAACAACACAAAACATCGGCATGTCCCCACTTAAAAGCATTCCAGGTGTTAGTAACGCATGATTGTCACTTGCTTGTTTCTTCAGTCTTTCTTTGTTTTGCCCGTATCTATATCTACATCTGGCGACAATGTTGTAATGTCATTCATTGCGTATGGGTATACAACGAATGTCTCCTGGAGCTTTCTGTGGTTGTTCTGATTATATCACTTTATCTTCCTGGACTATTATACTTTGATAGGGTGATATTCAGAGACGGGTGAAGCATCTCCTGTACCTAGCATGGCCAGACATGGGAACACCTACCACTTCCGATAGCATGCTTAAGTTCGTGAAGTCTTGTCGTGAACATAAAAGTCCTTCTCTGCATGGTCCTATTGTCGTTCACTGCAGGTAGGGACTTCTGAAACATTCTTAGAGAGCTACGTTAACAACTACAGTATTGTAGAGTATTAGTTTTCATATGACTGAGATTATTAATTAGTATGAGGTTAACTAAAGATAATAAAGAAATAAAATAATACTTGTTTGTAGTGTCATAGTTATCTTAGATTTGGCAACAGTTAGATACCTTGTCATTTGGAAGAAATGAAAAAAATGAGTTACGGTTAAGATTTGTGTCTAACCTTTATTGACCCTGGAATTTTTAGTGCTGGTGTGGGTCGGACTGGAACGTTCATCGCGGTGGACCACCTGGTACAAAGTCTGAACGCTGGTCACCAAGAAGTGGATATATTCAACATGGTACTCGGCATGCGTAACGAGCGCCCCAACATGGTTCAAACAGAGGTAAGCCTTCATGTGTTACGGAGTACACAAAGTCACGTTTTCGTTTGAGACATGTAAAGATTGTATTAAAGACACCCAAATGAATATCGCCTTTTGATACTTGTTTGGATAAGATACAGTAGAGTCACACGGTGAATTAAACTTCATCATACAGCTGTTTTGTCCTTCTATGACTCGTCAGTGATGCTAAGAACCTAAATGCTAAACCGATGAGGTGACCGAAGAAATTCCAAAGTAATCGAAAAAATGTCCAAATTTGGACGGGGAGATGAACTAGTCTTATAATTCAGTCAATTTTGTAATCTTTATAGATCTGATAATTTTAGAAGAACCTCTAAATGGTGCCACCATTCGAATGAATTAAAACGTGACGTGCTGGTTACGGCAAACCTCGGGGACTAATAGACCACCAGCAGTGTCTACCACCTGCAATCTCGAAGATTATGCGTTGCGTTTGGAATTTAAGTAAAAGTGTGTCTTCATTTTTCACTACGAACCTCCTTTCATGTCGTTTACCTTTATTTCTAAATTGTATTGACATTTTGCAGGACCAGTATATATTCATACACGAGTGTATCAAGGACCTCCTCACATCGGGAGAAGACGACGAAGAGGAAGAGGAGGAAGAAGAGGAGGAAGGCGAAGAACGTAAGCATGCATGAGGATACATTCACCGATTTTCTAGAAACTAGAAAGAACTTATTGAGCATGCCCATCATATCTACTTGCCAGAATTGGGAATGTAGAATACGAAAGACTTTTTGGAATCTGTCGCTTACCTCCTATCTTTTCCAACAACGAAACCAACAGGGACAGCTTTCATTCAAACTGTATTATAAGCATGAATTTTCCATTTCTGGATAGCAGCATTCCTATGCTCCAACTCTATGATGTTTTCATATCTAGAGTTATTTTCCCTACTTTCATGGATTTGGGTTTTCATCAAATTCCGAAATTTCCATCTGTGGACTGAAATTTACGCAAAACAATCGCAAAAAATCGGCAAAGCACTTATTATACATGACTACATGCCCGTCGATGTACATCGGCACCCTTTTGATTTTCCTTAACTAAATACGTGCTAGATATATTGATGGCTATTTTGCGGGGTTAAATATTGTTCAGACCACTTTGCTTTATCTCCCTTGAACCATGTTTTATGTCATGAAACACTTATGAACAGATTTTGACGGGGTATGTATTACATTATATCGTATATCATAAAGTATCATACATCTTTTAAAACTATTCCGTTCTTTCTATGCTAGGTCACCTGTCTCATGGTGACCTATCGCGATCACCTTTGTCTGGCATCATGCGTCTCAAAATCCCCTGAACCGATTTCTTTGAATTTTTTCAGAAACCTTTCCTGGTCTTTCATGAAACAGAATAGTGAATTTTATAATTCCACAGGAAGCCTGAGGGGCATGACCAAACGGGTCAAATTGACTAAAATTTCAAAATTCTTCTTCTCAACATTAAGATATGAAATGCTATTCATGGATGGAATAATCTTAAGGTGTTTTATCAAATTTGTGAATTTCGTGGCCCTGTGGGTGGGTGTAAAGGTTTTTTATAGGAAAAATAGGTTTTTGAGCATAATTTGTTTATTTCCATCGGTAACATTTAAAACTTGGTTAGACTTATGCATGAAGGATGAGGGTTTGACTGTTTGCCCATATTGATATTGGCTGAACCCCATGGACTGAGGGGCGGGGCAAATGGGATCAAATTGGTTCCGATTTCAAAAACAACTCTTCTTAACACCCGGATATGGTAGAATCAAATGCTCTTCATGGATGGAATTGTCTTACGGTGCTTTACCAAAATTGGGAATTTCATGGCCCAACGGTCTCGCATTTCTCCGTGGGGAGGGAGTAAAGTTTTTGAGAATAATTTGTTGAATTTCCATTGGAAATATTTAAACTTGGTTAGAATTATGAGCGAGGGGTTACGGCTAGATGATATGCGTATATTGATCCTGCCTGACCGCCAGGGGCTGATGGGCGGGGCCGAAATGGGTCTAATTTGCTTAAATTTGGATATCTTCTCAACCCTCAGGTATGGTAGACTCGAAGAGTCAAGGTTAATAACGGAGTGGTTCTCACTTGATTTCCCTTTCAGTCGCCAACTGATTTTAATCAAATGATGTCTTAGCGACATATTTTCAAAAAGTTCCCTTTTCCTTAATAAATTGGTGGCCCTTGCTGATATCTTCTAGGAATAGTATTATGATTCAAATAATTGTCGCTCGTGTGTTTTTTTAGTTCTTGGTGTCGATAGCAAAGACTGTTTTTCATATATTTTTACGATTTTCGTCGTTATATCTTGCAACGAAACTACAAAATACAGCATGTTTTCATGACTTTTTTCTTTATCATTTACCCCATTCCAGTTTCAGTAAATAAAAAGTATATATTATATATACATTCTCGGTCGTAAGCTGACCTCATCAAAATCAACCAGATGTTAATGTGAATCAAAATACCTGTTATAGGTTTCACCCTTTTTATAATATACTTGATTATCATAGATTTATGTCTCTCCTTTTCAGCAATTTACCAGAACGCGTGATGAAAGTGTTCTTACAATAAGTGAGAGTACAGGAAGGACAGGGACCAGTGACTACAGCGAGAGAAAGTCTTTGCCTTAGGCCCTGACCGTTCAACAGCCGAGACTAAATAGGAGGAAAAAGACAAACCTCAAAACATTAAATACATAAACAGATTGTGTATGCCGTTTCATGTAATATTTGGTGCTGAGTTAAGAAATCCGTTTCATTTAAATGTCTGTTGTGTTCTGATCACTGTACTCCCTTTAACACATAACAACAGACATTGATATATCACGTGTTTTGTTTGCTAGTTCATCATCAGCCATGACACAAATTATAATATATGACATCGATTGCTTTGTAATTGTGTTATATTTTTATAAAATATTTTTTTCTATTTCTCGTGTACTATACAAATTCATTCGTCCATCATTTATTTAAATAACTGCTTCTGATAGTGCCTCTGGAAAATCTATACTCCCTCCCAGCTCCTTGGTTTCTGTTTTAGCGCATACATCCACCCATCTTGTCACATTTAGAATCCTGTCTTATTCATTATTATAGTCGGACAAATCTAACGTTATGTCTACAATATGATTGATGTTATTTAGCAGTGTGTTGAATACTACGCGACTGGTGATAATATTGTACGGTGATTTGTCGTTTTGAACCCAGAACATACAGTTATTTATCTATTATGTTAATATATTCGGGTCTTTCATTTGTTACAATGTCCAGGTCACGTTTCTATGTTAATCCATTGTTCCCCAGTTACTTTTATAATGATACTCCGTACATTCCTTCTTGAAATAAATCCACAGTTTTGTGCATAATGTCACGTTATTGTAAATCTTCATGTCAGATGGTGTTCGGTGATGTATAAATATTAAAATAGGTTTCTAGGTTCTTACAGGTCATCGCGTTATACCATGTTTTGAACGAGTTATTCTGAAGCAAATGTAGAAAAGATGAGCTATATTACGCTTTAATTCCCTCTCGCTGATATTATAATGTTCAAATATCGTGAATTACTCCTACCTTTTGCTACAGCATTGCACAGCTATAGTAAGTAACTGTCGGTCTACAGAGGTGTAGAGGACCAGTCAGATTTATCGAGAGACAAGGCGAAGACGACACCCCTGTATACATGTATCTAGTGACGTTATGTTCACCACCAGTAACTAACTACTCCGAATAAAATAAATTATGTAAGAACTTTCTTACAAATGAAAGAAAAGACACATATTAACATGTTGGTACTTCAATAGTAACAAAGGAATGAATCTGATTTCAAAAGGAGGTCGCAAACTTATAGGATAACAGTGAACATAGGAGATATTGTATGATTCCGATAGAAAGTTTATTTGTTTGGTTGTACAAGTCTTAAGACCATAATGACGTCACGACTTTATTGCCGTCTATTACGTCAGGCTACCATCTCATCGACACCACGTTGCAACGATGGCGGCAGTCCTTTATATATCGTTCACACTTGATTATCAAGACAATAGTTTATTGTGATTTTCGACAACTGATGTGAGAATCGTTTTATCTGCTGGACAGATGTTTTACCATGTACGTGATCATTAAACTAGTCAATGTTATTCTGAATTAATTTTATTCACCTGTGTGCCTTTTGTACAAGCTCTATTCACTTTATCGGTTTATTTTAATGAAACTCGTATTATCATCTGTAATCATAGTAATTTATGCAATATTATCTATATTTGTGTTCGTGTTTGATTTATGATATTCATAGTTAATAACAGACGTTTTCATTAAGCATCAGGACGTAATTATCATAGTAACGGCCCTTGTCAGTCAAAAACATATTCCGTTAGCATATAGACAAAATTATATCAGTTTCTCCCACTCTCAATAAATAACGTTTTCTCTAAACATTTTGGAAAATCGCCTGCATCAGTCAATGATATATTCTCTTCAAATATCTCGACAAAATAGTCTGTAGCTACTTTTAGGAAAGATCTCCCTCTGGTAGTAGCTAATGTTTTTCCTTAGCATCTAGATAAAACTATCATAAGTATCTTGCACTTTCAGAAAATAATGTATTCCTGTAACATAGAGGCAAATTAATATAAGTTTCTCTCACTCTAATTAAAGGATGTTTTCTGTAATCATTTAGACAAATCTCCCGCTCTTAAAAAGAACATATTCCCTCTAAGTATTTAGACAAAATTATCAGTAAGAGGATGGGACCAACGTACAATTAATTTCAACCTAGTTTACATAGAAAAGCGGTTTTACATTGAAGATAATGACCTGATTTTCTGGTAATATCTGTCTTCCGAGGCATATTTATAGTAATCTCGAATATGATTGACATCTACTGTGCCATTTTGACAAATCAGTCATCGAACAAATGTGTGGAAATATTTATCAGGTGAATAAAACATCCATATACTCTGATATAGTCACGTGAATTTTAGCATGGTTTTGTTATATCTAAGTTAGCAGTTACATATTTGCGTTCATGAGCTTTACGTGTTTTTCACGAGAAACCTTTAATCTGACAATATTTGTGTATACACTCCTATTGTGTTGAATCCATACAAAGATGTAGTGTTAATCTACACATATTTACGGAGTCGTTAATTTCGGCATCTACTTACCATAAACATTCTGCAGTTTTTTTCTCTAGGTGTCCGTATTATCTATAGTTATGTAATACATTGTAAACATATGCTTTAGTTGATAATGACATAATAATATCAGACGTTATATAGAGGAGATACGATTACTTTGTCAATTTGTTGTTTTGTAATTTATAATGCTTGTTTTTTTTCACAAATACATGTGTGTCATGTTAAATGATTCTATATTTATCTAAAATGAATCCTTTGTTAAGTTCCTATTGACTTTGTCATTATGATATACATTCCCATAGTCAATAACAACATGTTTATTTTTGTAATGATATGCAGTAATCATATTTTATTATTAAAACCTATTGTATTTCTGTTGTGTGTGGTTGTTTTTATTAACATTGTTATCTCATTGTGTCGAATCAGTAAAACTATACGGTGTTGTGTCAAAGGTCAATACAGCAGTTGTAGATTTACTGTCTATCCATTAGTGGGGACAGTCTTACATTTACAAGGGAGGGAGCTTATGTCTATACAATTCGTGTTAATTAAAATTGCGTTAACGAAAATTAAAATTAACAAAAGAAATATTTTTAAAAAAAAAAAAAAAAAGAAAAGCTAAAAAAACCGGACGAGATTTTTCTTTCAAATGTAGTCCATGTTCTCAAGAAGAGAACCGAGATAGTGAGGAAAATAACCCAGAAAAAATATATTGTCATCAATACATTAATAACTGGAATAAGAATAGGCGATTTCATTTCAAAATAATTTTACTGCGACGATCTTAAAGCAAAAGGAATTGGGCAACAAGTAAACACTGTTAAAGTCCGCTCCCTAGAAAATTGAACAGAGTACACATCAACTTTACAACAAAAGTTGGCAAAGATGAATCTAGATATCAACATAACAGTTATACTACAGCATGTAATGATGAAATATGAGAAAAGAAAAGTTTAAAATGACTTCTAAACATTTTGGTCATTATGAGACACATAAAGTCGGTCACAAATAGTAGTGAGTCCCTCAGACTTGGTCCGGATGTCAGCATAGACAAACTTTTATGAATTCTACGATTTGTGCCGATCCTTACAAGATATATGATGAAGACCAAGATTTTCGACAACACAGATACAACCGTCATTTTCTTAATCAGAATAATTTGTATCACTAATGAAAAGGCGATGTCATTCTCCTACTGATCTAATAAAACAAATTTGTCCTTTTTTAGCAAAACAAAACATCGTCAGCCTAGGAAAGTGTAAACAATGTTCCCATAGACGTGAACATACCGCCGAAATATTCTGTTTCCAATCTCAACAAAGATAATGACAGCAAGGAAATATTTCTCTTCTCTCCTTGGTAGTTGGTGTATAACTCTTGTCTGCTTCACAACTACAAACTGCCATGTTAGTCAAGAGACTTAAACTTGAATTGTCCATTGATGAGGGAGTGTTTGGTATGCTACTAGACGCTGCATGGAACATTTTACTGAATAGCTTCACAGAAGTGAAGCACCAGTTTGAATTGTTTCCTGTGAGAGTTATTTCATACCTTATCTGTATCAATACAGATCTTTCGTGTGTTAAATCATGTGTCGAATCTACCTATTCCGTGTTGGTTTCCACTCCCCAGTGTGCCCTGGAAAGTTCATGGTTGATGAAGGTTTAAATTGGGCGAGATCTCGCTAGTGGAGCGATGTTGTGATTTGGGTACTTATACCGAATCACATCCCAGCATGACCGTGGCTAATTAAACACCGCTGTAAGTGTGTATCGACAAAAATTGCTTGTCTATGTTCTACCAGTCATGCACTACTGAAGCGAACATAACAAATTCTATAGATACGCCATCATCCGTTTGTCTCAGGTCGAATACAGCTTGACCCCAGGAGTGTCTTAGGTGAGATACAAATTGAACAAGGTGTATCTTGGGTTGAATACATATTGGATTGGGTCTGCTACATTTCTTAGAAAATTACCTGTCTAACCCTGGAATTTTTCCTGCCTGTTACTAATAGGCCCAGGAGTTGATGAATTCAGTGCAGCTGGATCATAGAGTATTTAGGCTTGAATAAGAATGGAGACGGTGGACCCAAGTGACAGATGAATATGTAAAGAAAAGGTTAAACATAAGAGAGGGGGCAAATATAATAGCAATTACACATTAACGACCATAGTCACTAGAATTCTATGGTTAACATACATGATAGCTATTATATATGTGTATATTTCTGAAATATGGGGGGATACATATATGTTAGTCGTGAGACAGAAGAAATATTGTTGGAATATTGAGGGGGGATACATATATGATAGCTGTGAGACAGAAGAAATATTGCTGGAATATTTGGGGGGATACATATATGATAGCTGGTTGACAGAAGAAATATTGTTGGAATATTGGGGGGATACATATATGATAGCTGTGAGACAGAAGAAATATTGCTGGAATATTTGGGGGGATACATATATGATAGCTGGTTGACAGAAATATTGGGGTGATACAAATATTGTTGGAATATTGGGGTGGGGGGTCATACATATATACAGGATAGCTGTGAGACAGAAGAAATATTGTTGGAATATTTGGGGGGATACATATATGATAACCGTGAGACAGAAGAAATATTGCTGGAATATTTGGGGGGATGCATATATGATAGCTGTGAGACAGAAGAAATATTGGGGTGATACATACAGGTTAGTTTGTCATAAGACAGAAGAAATATTGGGGTGATACATACAGGTTAGTTTGTCATAAGACAGAAGAAATATTGGGGTGATACATACAGGTTAGTTTGTCATAAGACAGAAGAAATATTGGGGTGATACATACAGGTTAGTTTGTCATAAGACAGAAGAAATATTGGGGCATGATACTGTACAGGTTAGTTTGTCATAAGATAGCAGACAGAAATATTGGGGTGATACATACAGGTTAGTTTGTCATAAGACAGAAGAAATATTGGGGTGATACATACAGGTTAGTTTGTCATAAGACAGAAGAAATATTGCTGGAATATTACACAAAAATGTTGTCCATAGTGGCAACACTGAACCGGTCAAGCGAGGTACATAAAAAAAATACCTCTCTTAAGTGACATTTTGTTTAAACAGTTTGGCGGGAAATACCGAGTGTGTGCCATTGGCGGATTAATGTCTCATCGATCGAGGTGAAACGGCGACACACAGAGTGGTGACAAACCAGCTTTATTGTGAGGTACTCGCTAAAATTTTGGAAGCAGATACTTTGGTGTGAAAAGCGAGGTATTGGGAAAAAGTACCTCGCTTTATTTTCGTACCTCGCTCACCAACTCACCACCACACACATACACACCTAAAACACACTACACACCATCTACCATACATATCGCAGGCGAATAGGTAGGTATTATGGCATCAGTAGTAACGAGTAAAGTAGAATATTGAGTGGAAAACTTTTTATATGAAGTAACCAAAAAGTCATGGTTAATGGAAATCCATCCAAGGACCACTTTCTACTTTCACTTTCTACTTTCACTTTCTACTTTCACTTTGTACTTGTGACACCTCAAGGGTGTGTTTTCTGTACAAATCTGCGTGTAGTTTTCCTAAATGATTTACTATATATGTGATTAAACATAGGTGATACAAATATTTGTAAATACTAGTAATTAAAGATCAATTCAGATTATTTACAGGATTTATCCAACACATCAATTTAAAAATTTAATCCTCATAAACCGTGAAAGGACATGTATGAGAAGAGAGAAGGTATATGGAAGGCGTATGTGACAGGTGAGTTCTGGTGGATAGAGACTTCCGAAATCTTCTCCGTAAATTCAGCAGTAGCAACCAATTACACGAGAATCTGAGTCCAAGAGCATTCATATGTGTGAAAGAATAACACACATCACCTGTATCTAGTATACACATCACCTGTATCTAGTATACACATCACCTGTATACACATCACCTGTATACACATCACCTGTATCTAATATACACATCACCTGTATCTAATATACACATCACCTGTATCTAGTATACACATCACCTGTATCTAGTATACACATCGTTTGTATCTAGTATACACATCACCTGTATCTAGTATACACATCACCTGTATCTAGTATACACATCACCTGTATCTAGTATACACATCACCTGTATCTAGTATACACATCACCTGTATCTAGTATACACATCACTGTATCTAGTATCTAGTATACACATCACCTGTATCTAGTATACACATCACCTGTATACACATCACCTGTATCTAGTATACACATCACCTGTATCTAGTATACACATCGCCTGTATCTAGTATACACATAACCTGTATCTAGTATACACATTACCTGTATCTAGTATACACATCGCCTGTATCTAGTATACACATCGCCTGTATCTAGTATACACATCACCTGTATCTAGTATACACATCACCTGTATCTAGTATACACATCACCTGTATCTAGTATACACATCACCTGTATACACATCACCTGTATCTAGTATACACATCACCTGTATCTAGTATACACATCACCTGTATCTAGTATACACATCGTCTGTATCTAGTATACACATCACCTGTATACACATCACCTGTATCTAGTATACACATCACCTGTATACACATCACCTGTATCTAGTATACACATCACCTGTATCTAGTATACACATCACCTGTATCTAGTATACACATCACCTGTATCTAGTATACACATCACCTGTATCAAGTATACACATCACCTGTATCTAGTATACACATCACCTGTATCTAATATACACATCACCTGTATCTAGTATACACATCACCTGTATCTAGTATACACATCACCTGTATACACATTACCTGTATCTAGTATACACATCACCTGTATCTAGTATACACATCACCTGTATACACATCACCTGTATCTAGTATACACATCACCTGTATCTAGTATACACATCACCTGTATAGAGTATACACTTCACCAGTATACACATCACCTGTATCTAGTATACACATCACCTGTATACACATCACCTGTATCTAGTATACACATCACCTGTATCTAGTATACACATCACCTGTATACACATCACCTGTATCTAGTATACACATCACCTGTATCTAGTATACACATCACCTGTATACACATCACCTGTATCTAGTATACACATCACCTGTATACACATCACCTGTATCTAGTATACACATCACCTGTATACACATCACCTGTATCTAGTATACACATCACCTGTATCTAGTATACACATCACCTGTATCTAGTATACACATCACCTGTATCTAGTATACACATCACCTGTA